GGGCCCTGGGCCCGGGCGGGCGCGTCCGGCCGCAGCCGCCGGTGCATAGCGTAGAGGTTGCGCATGGCGCCCAGGTTGCACAGCACGGTGGCGAGGACCAGCAGCGCCATGAGGCTGGCGTAGAGCACAGAGAAGCCCAGCACCGACAGCGAGCCCTCCTCGTGCGCCATCTGGATGAAGCACCAGGTGCCGGGGCAGTACTGCACGAACTTCCCGAAGCCGGCAAAGGGCAGCGCGCAGAAAACCAAGGAAAAGGTGCCCACGCTGGGCGCCACCAGCACTCCGCGGCGCAGCGTGATGTGCCGTCGGTAGAAGAAGGGGTGCCCCAGGGAAAGCCAGCACTCCAGCGCCATGGCCAGGAGCTGCAGCGTGGAGGCGAGCCCGAAGAAGGACATGAAGAAGGCGAAGGCTTGGCACAGCGGGTTGCCGGGCGCGGGCGCCAGCCCCCACAGGCTCCGGTTCTGCTCGTAGGCAGCCAGCACCACCGGGCTGATGAGGCACTTGCCCAGCAAGTCGGTGACCGTCAGGCCGCACACCAGCACGTAGAAGACCGAGGGCGGCGGGCGCGGCGGGGCCGGGCCCCGCCCACGGCGCGCCCCAGGGCCAGCAGGTTGCCCAGGAGGCCGGCGCTGAAGAGCACCCCGCCCATTGTCGCCGAGTGGCCCTTCTCCACCGTAGTGGCGTTATGGCAGGGGGGGGAGGGGTGGTGGGCGGACGCGCGCGGGTGGCGCGCAGCAGAGGCTGCCTGGCGGAGGAGGCCGCGGAGGGCGCAGGGCCCGGCGCGGGGTGCGGAGGAGGGCTCCGCCGCTGAGCGCGCGGGGCGGAGAGGCTGCCCGGCAGAGGAAGCTCCTCGGCGGGCGGAGTGTTCCTCAGGCTGGGCGCCTCCTATCTAAACTCGTGGGTCACACCCCTCTCTGAGGGGCGGGACGCGCGCCCGGTGCGCAGCGGCCCTGGCACTGCCGAGCGCCCAGCAGCCCGGCGAAGAGTGTGGCCCTGACGCGTCTGGTCCTCGTAGAGACAGACCCTAGTGTCCAGAGTCGGAAGGAGAGAAGAAAAGGAGCCAGAGTCCGAGCAGCAGAGATCAATTTTCCCAGCGAGACAAGAGAACTCCTGAAACAGAGCTGTTAACGCGGCTGCCTCTAGGGAGCAGGAGGGCTGGAGGTTGTGGCGCTGGAACTTTGCTGGTGGCCAAGAACTCTGAAGATGAGTGAGGAAGGCAGAGAAAGGGCTACCGCCTAGCCTTCTAGAATTAGCATTAGTTGGCTAAGGAGGGTGAGGGCGACTGACATTTGTTTAGCAATTAAGCCTTGTCACTTGTTCTCTTTCTAGATCCCTGCAATCTGGGGCACTGTGATCGCCACTGTGCAGGTGAGGAGAGGAGACCTTGCAGATTAAGTGAGCTGATCAAGGTGACCTAAATCTTCTATTTGTAGAGTCCCTCTGTCTTGCTTCCATGGTTGGCCACTTTTCAGACAAGTGGTTCCAGAGAAAACCCAGAGGTGATGTTGGCCCTGGGTATCAGGAGTCATCGTGACTGTATAGATAGGCTGGAGGGGAGTGCTGCTGTCATCAGATGGGCTGGGGTTCAAGTCCTGCTTTTGCTACTTAGGTAAGAATGGGGACTGTGGCCCTGAGAGACTTGTTTAACCTATCAGACAACAGCCTCTATCCTGCTCGCTTGACTCTTGACACATGGAGATGACACCTGTAGAGAGCGAACACATAGGAAGTGCTCCCTACAAACAAGTGCTGTGATTCTCAGGTGGTGGCAATTTAACTGCAGATTTTAGCATGGATTTTTGTTGTTGTTGTTTATTTGTATATGTGTGTGTGTGTGTGTGTGTGTGAGAGAGAGAGAGAGAGAGAGAGAAGTAAGAGATAAATTGATTTTTTTCTTTTTTGGGGGACAGGGTCTTATCATGATAAGATCTTCCTGACCCAACCTCTCAGCTATTCAGAACCATGTAGTTTTGAAACCAGAAAATAGTAGAGTTGATTTAGAGCTTTCTCACTTCTCTGGTTTATGAGTATGTGGAAACATTTCTCCCTTGCTGGTCTTTGACTTGGATGTATCATAAAGACAAGGGAGTTAATTGTGATAAGTATAATTTATGACTTTAATTAACACTCAGTGCCCTGGGAGAGAAACTAGCTCAGTGTGTGGAATTTGAGTGGGATGACTGGGGCCATCTTATGTAAGCAAGTAGATTATGCTTTGGCTTGGAGAGGCTCAGTTTTAGGCTCTGTGCCTGTTCTCATGGACAGAGTCTGGGAGGGAGCAGGACCCTTGGGCTTTAGATGTGAAAGGCTGAGGGCGAGCAGAGAGATGGTCCCCAGACTGCCTGCCTAGACAATAATCTAGGCCACAGGCTGGAGAGGAAGAGTTCAAACTTTGGAATTAGATAGTTCAGAACTCTGCCAGTAGCTGTGTGGCCCTGGGTTAGTTACTCAATCTCACTGAATTTCATATTCCTCACAAATTCAGGATATGGGACTTAAGCTGACCTCATAGGGTTACTGTGAGCATGAACTGCTTGGCACAGAGAAATCATAAGAGCTAACATTCCTAGATCTGTATATGTGTGGACTCTAAGTCTTTCACGAACGCTGACTCAATAGCAGACCTGCCACAAGGTTAGTTCTCTTGTGCTCCGCCTTCTCTCTCATCCTCACCTCTCAGTCCTACGTCGACTCCTAACAAATAATGATGGGTTTGAAGAGCCCCACTTGAGTTGATTAAGTTGAAGGAGGAACAGACTCCATATCCAAAAGACATGAGAATCTGATAAAAGCTGAAGCTCTCCCCACCCCCAATGCCACACACGCACACACATACAAACACACAATTTATACCCATTTCAGAATGTTCAGAGTTTCCTAAAAACCCATTTTGGTATTCAGAGGTGGCCCATCCTCTAAGGATGATGTGTTGAGGCATCCTCCTGAAGCATACATACCTACTTCAATTCCTTGCAGCCTTAGTTTGCTTCTGTAGTAACTACCACTCCATACCCCTTACAGGAACAATGCCTAAGGGGAGAGGAGATCTAGAATGTAAACAATTTTTGAAAAACAACCTCAAAGTGTGACTGGTGGACCAGCTATGGGTCCCTGACAAGTGGTTTGCACATGCCGTGTTTCAGAGGTTGACAGTTTTGAGCAGGTACAGTTCAAAAAACCATGCTTCCTCCTGGCGTTTTATTTAACTGGCATTTCCCATGGGATGTGCAGTAGCCTCTCCTGCAGACTTTGCTGTCGTCCACCCTTCCCGATTCTCACTCTTTGGAATCTTCTGTCCCTGCTCCTAAGAAACTCTTTTTTACAACTTCACTGTAGAGCCAAGAAAAGTATAATTTGTTTATATACCAAATATATTTTGAGCTCTTACTTTGTGCCAGACATGGGGGTGCAGGATGGAGTTACTGAGGAGCACCTAGCAAATAAGGAAAGACAAATGTCATGTGGTGTAGCATTTATAGGCCCCTATGTTTTTATTTCAACTTTCAGTGACCAGGTTAAGCTTTTATTTATTCTAAGGGAATGTTAATGAAAATATCTTAAGCCCAGTTAATGGTCAAATGAACTCTATTTTCTGCAGAGCTGTGCCAAGCTACTTAATTGGGTTATAGGACAAATCTTCTGGAAAAATATGTATGGCATCATAAGAGCAGATTATTTTAAATATATAATTATATTGTACTGTAATAAATGTAGAAACCTGGGACCAGCAGTTAGCGTAATGGCTATGTCGCTGAATTTTCATTTAGTCGACTGAGGTTCGAGTCCTGGGCCCGGTGGCTTAAACTCACGCCGGCCGTGTGTGCGTGCATGCCCAAGATCCCGAGAGGAGAATGGAGGAGAAGGGATTGTGGCATCCCCCCCTGGGAGTGATTTCTTGCTTTCTGTCTCTCTGTCTCTCTCTGTCTTTCTGGTGAGCGCATGCACCCTATAGCAAAAGAAAACAAAACAAAACTCCAACAAAATAAATAAATAAATAAATAAATAAATAAATAAATGTAGAAACCATATATGCTCATGGACAAGGCCTGTAGTTGACCACAGGCAAATGAAAACTTTGACTTAAATCTGAGAAGGGATGGTAGAAACATTTTTCCTTGGATTTCTGACATATATTTTTAATTTTCAGATTAATGTCATATTTTACATAAAGTCTCATATGCCATATATAATATATGCGTTTTTTTAAAAGACAACTTCACATTTCTTGATTTCTTAACTGTTTCTTCCCTTTGCACTGCACACCCACTCTCTACCACCCACTTGTAGCACCCATTGCCCTCCCTTACAGTTTCTGGTATCCGCATTTATCCTCTCTGCTTCATATCTTCAGATCTTTCCATTTCTGCCGTAGAGTGCAGATACTTGGTACACATTGAGTGGGGATATACAGTGTGTATGTTTCAAAGTCCAGCTTGCTTTGCTTAACATTAAGTCTTCTATATTCATCCACTTTGAACCAAATGATTCAAGTATTTTCTGATATTTTCAATGTAGTATCTGTTATTGGTGTTTTAAAAGATATCAAACATAAAACAAATATATGGCCATGGTCAGGTTTTTAGAAAAGGGAAGAGAAGGAAAAAAAGCATAGATTTTTTTTTTCTAGATCCATCTTGGCTATGCTTCTAAATCTAATTCTATCCGTACCTTTACTGTACCCCAGGAAATATTTGAGCTGGGGGTAGTAAAGAGCAGAGAATGGACAGGAGGGAAGCCGAAAAGCAAATAACAACATTCGTTCCCAGATATGGAGCATCTTCTGCATGCTAGAGACTGTATTAGATGCATCTTCACCTTCAGTAGGGGAGCGATAACATGGCATTGTGTCAGTGCTATTTCAGGTCATGGGCGTCATAATGTGGGAATTCAAAGCTGAGCTTTCCTCTGTACCTTGTGCATTCTTTTAACCTTTCTAAATTTTAATTTCCTTACCTGTAAAAAAGCAGGGAAGGAGGACAATTGTACTGAACTCATAGAGTCAATAATGTGGAGTAAGTAAAATAATCTGTGTAGAGCAAGAGTTTCTATCTCAGCTGCACTTTAGAATCATCTGGAAAACATTTCTGATGATTCAGCACCTCAAACTCTGGCTATTCAAGACTCTTTAGGGTAGGGAGGTGCCTTCCAGGTTTCAATATATTTGGAAGGTCTCGGTGACTTCCTCTGTGTGGCTAAAGTGAGAACTTCTGGCTCAGAATGGTAAGCCCAATGTTGTGATACTCTCTGCATGGCTCTATACATGTTTTAATTTTGTTTTTGCAAGAGGGCACATGCACTTACTCCAGAGAGACAGAGAGGGAGAGGGAAAAGCATCTCCCCAAACACGCCATGGGCAATGGTCATGCTGTATTCCCTTCTCTATCTCACCTTCATTTTGGGATTTTGGGTATGCAGGCACATGTACCTAGCATGTTCTCAAGCTGCTGCATCCAGGACTCAAACCATGGGTCAGCCATATGGGATCCAGCTGCCTCAAACCCTAGGCCAAGGGTGGCCTGATATCAATGCTTTATTCCTACCAGTGCTTTGCAAAATTTGTCTTTATGTCTTTTTTTAAGAGAGATTTTTGCTATAAGGTGCATGTGCTTGCCAGAGAGACAGAGAGAGAAAGAAAGCGAGAAATCACCCCCCCCCCCGCCAGGGAGAATGGTCACACTTCAATCCCTTTTTCTCCATTTTCCTCTTGGGATTTTGGGCATGCATGCACATGTGCCCATCATGAATTTTAAGCTTCTGGGTTTGGGACGCAAACCACGGTTGACCATGTAAGAGTCCGTTAACTACATAACCATGACGCCACCTGCTTATCCCTATCTCTTCTTTTTAAGTAAGGAAAATGAGCCTCAGAGAGGTTCATAACTGGTTCAAGTTCTCCTAACTATGTAGTACATGATGAGTCTAGAATGGCAGCCAGGGCTATTGGATTCCCCAAGCCTTTGTTTTGGAGGAAGAGAAGAGCAGAGAAGACAAGAGGATGAGAGACAAAGGAGAGACCCCGTGATTTCCTCTGTCTGCTCAGGAGCTGCGAGGAAGAGCTGCCACCATGATCGTGCCAGTTTCCTGGTCTCTATGGTTGCACGATGTCTTGTGGACAAGCCTGCTCAGATGCCGTTGTGGCATCTGTCTGCTAAAATTTCCAGGTAGTTTAATAAAGTCTTCATTTTTATCTTATTCTGGTTTTTGCTCTTTGGGATCACAACCTTTTGTCTAGCAAGAATTTCCATTTTTATATCTTTTCCTGCCAAATTGAGAGACTTAATCCTCCAAAGATTTTGAGGAATGGATATGCCTTGGCCAACCTTGGTTAAATTTCTGTGTCTGTGTAAGTCAGGATCAGGATCTCTCTGTGCTCAGGACGTGGAGAAAACATAATTTCAGTGTTAACTTGGCTCAACCCCTAAGGATCAGTATGAATTTTTGAAAACGTCTTTGGGTAATGAACTGAAAGTAAATAAAGCATGCAGTAATCCATTTGTTAACCTAATTACATGAAAGCTCTTCAAAAAGTTCATGGAAAATGAGTATTACGGAAACTATGCATGGATATCCTCCCCCGACTCACTTTTTTTTCTTTTTTTTTTTTTTTGCACCTAAATAAGCTCATACTTTCATTTCATTTTCCACAAGTCCCCTTATAGCTTGTGAAGTTTTACTGAGAACTGAGTTTTCCTAACAATTTGCTTGTAGTTCTAACGGAAGTTGTTGTCAGGCATGGCTTGTTTGGTTTCCTGGGAAGCAGACTCTGAGGTGGAGATTGAGGTAGTGTAAGTAGGATAACTATTAGGAAGCAGTTGGGGATTAACACCTGTAAGAAGGAAGGACCAGGAGAAGCAGGACTGGGTAGAGAGAGAAGTTGGGTTGCAATAGTTACTGTAAAAGACCTTAACCATCCTAACTGAAAGAACCCTTTAGTATTGTCCAGAGTTGAGGGTGCAGGGACTGGGCCTTTATATCCTTGGTGGGCCAGGCACTGGGCGCAGGCTACCTTGGACCCTGAGTGTAGCAATTCTTTCAGCCAAAGCAAAACCAGGAAGGGGCCCTGGGAGTGATGGCTAGGGGAATGCATGGGACTTCAAAAATTCTGTGGAAAAATGAGATTAAAGGATGTGTCTGTTTGGTGCAAAAACCTTTTTTAAAAAGAATTATTTATTTAAATTTATTTACTGTGGGCCAGCAGATGGCATCACTGGACTCCCATGTAGTTCAAGTCCCAGACCCAGTAGATTATAATTCATACTGGGCATGTGTGCCCAAAATCCCACGAGGAGAATGGAGGAGGAGGAACTGCAGTGTGGCCATTTTCCCTGGGGGTTAATTTCTCACTTTCTCTCTCTCTGTCTCTGTCTCTGGCAAGCACAAATGTCCTATAGCAAAAAAATCTCTCAAAAAATGTATTAATATTATTTTTTTAAGTTTGACCAGACAGAGAGAGAGAGAGAGAGAGAGAGGAAACATGAGAAAGCAAGTTGCCAGGTCTGAGACTCAAAACCATGGTAGACCATGTGGGAGTCTAGTGCCTTAACCACCATGCCACCTGCCTGCCCCTGGTGGACAACCTTTTTGAAATCCATACATAGAGTCAGCAGGTGGCATGGTGGTTAGGATGCTGGACTCCATTGGCCAACCATGATTTGAGTCCCGGGTTGTCCTATAGCAAATTAAATAATAATAAATTAAAAATCAAAAAAGATATCCATGCATAGGTTTTTTTTCATAATACACATTTTCCATGACCATTTTGAAGATCCATTGTTAAGTGCTTCAGTCTCAAATGGGATTAAAAAATATTTAATTATAGAGTACATACAAGGGAGAGAGAAAGAGAGAGACTTTTCATAGGGACTTGGTCATGCTTCAGTACCCTTCCTGCAACTCACCAGGATCCTAGGCATGTACTCATGCACTGGTGTGTTTCAGACTGAAGGACAGTGGAACTCAAACCATGGTTAGCTTTTGGCTCCCAGCTCTGTAGTCCTGTATGTGCCCAACTGTGCCAGAGTGGCTGGGTCCCTTCTAATACTGGGGGTGGTGCTGGTGGGCAGCACAGCTGAGATCCAGAGGCAGTGACCCTTAAGTTCCACTATTGCTACATCAGGTTTAAAGGAGTTTCATTAAAGACCTTGCTGTTGAATCCAGGATAGTTAGGCCAATGCCTAGACCACACCATTCCATTTCTTTTCATTCATTTGGTTTTTGATTTAGCTTTCCTCAGTATAGTCTTGGATTTTTATTTTATCACTCTGATTATGCAACAGTCTTCTTCAGAAGTTCTCACTCATATACCCACTTTCCTGGGCTTCCTCAAATGCCCCATATCATTCGCTATATAAGGGTACATTGTTTGTTCGTGTGTTGGCGTATGAGTCTCTCAAGGGCAGGGGCTGTCTGCTTCAGCTTGATTCCTCTGTCTGCCACACACTATGGGCACACAGTCTATTCTCCATAAATGTTTGTTGCATGAATGAACAATCATGATACCTTCTAACATACCTTTGTCCATGTTCTGACTCTATTCCTTTTAAATGTTATTTATTTTAATTGATAGAGAGCATGTGCATTTGAGAGAGAGAGAGAGAGACCGCAAGCACCTCCTAGTGGGGTCATGTCACAATACTTTTTCCTCCATTTCTCCATCTCATGAAAGACTATTATTGAGTCTTAAACATTTTTGATCTTGGAGACCAGCAGATGGCATAATGGTTATGGTGAACTCCCACGTAGTCAACCACTGTCCAAGTCCCGGACCAACAGCTTAAAACTAACACATGTGTGGGACCAGCAGTTAGCATAATGGCTATGTTGCTGGACTTCCATGTAGCTGACCGCAGTTCGAGTCTGGACCCCGTGGCTTAAACTCATGCTGGGTGCGTGTGCGTGCATGCCCAAAATCCCGAGAGGAGAATGGAGGAGAAGGGATTGCGGCGTGACCATCCCCTTTGGGCGATGACTTCTCGCTTTCTATCTCTCTGTCTCTCTCTGTCTTTCTGGTGAGTACACGCGCCCTATGGCAAAAACCTCTCCAAAAAAAAAAAAAAAAAACAGAATAACA